GTCATCCCAGCACTTTGGGAGACTGAGGTAGGAGGATCGCTTGAGCCCAGGAGTTTGAGGCCAACTTGGGCAACATAGTGAGACCCCATATCTATTGAAAAATTAAAGTAAATTTAAAAAGAAAGCACTGCATAAGCTATAAAGTGCCATGTACATCTCAAACATTGAATATCTTTGCTAACAGCTTGGATGGATTCTGCCTCTGGGTAAGAGGAATGTGACTTGACCATTGTTTCCAGCAGGACATGAAGCAATGTCCTTACCTAGTTAATGCCGTGTTTGGTACACTCTGCTCCTCTTCTCCCATGTCAGCAAAGCTATTATTTTGTACACCATTTCCCTGAAGCCTGGAAGATTGGCTAGAGATGCTGATAGGAGGCAAGATTAAATTACCAACTTTGAGCTGAAAGATGGGTGACTCAACACCACAGTAGCGAGGACCAGGATGATGTCATAGAAAATATAGGAAACTGAACCACAGAAAAAATTCATGTTTTGGTTTGTTCTTTCACTTTATCTTGGATTAACTTTAAAACCAAAAGCTGATGAGAATCATCACTCAAATGACTGTTGGCTTTCAGGCTGTTCTCAGAGAAAACCTCAGGGGTTGCTTCTGTTCTTGGGATCTGTGTTGCTTTGTGTCTTGAATCAAGTCAATCGCAAGTGAAAAAGGTCCATAAACTCAAATTAATAAAGCAAGGACACATCTATCTCACTCAACTGAAAAGCTGAGGGATTCCAGGGGTGTTTTGGGATGCTGCCTTGATGTCTCTATTCTCAACTCTGCTCTTTCCTGTGCTGACTCTGATCTCAGCCCGATGTCTCTCTGTGGTCTTAAGGTAGCTCCTGACAGCTCCCCTTAATCCTCTGTCCTCTCTTCCCACCAGTTGCAGCAAGAATCCCGTAGTGAGTTTTCTGCTGGCACTGAAGGGTTGTTATCTGCGGGACGACATGTAAGTAAAACTTTTCAGAAGATGCCGTTGTGCTGCGGCAGTGTTGCTAATGTGTATGGGCCTGTGTATTTGGCATGGCAGGCAGTGGAAGAAGACATGATTAACAATGGTTTGAGCTGTCTGCTAAAAACTGAGTGTATTCATTTTCTGTGGTTTCTGTCACAAATTATCACAAACTATGTAGCTGAGAACAGAAACTTATCCTCTCAGCGTTCTGGAGGCCAGGAATCTGAAACAGCAGTGTCATCAGGGATTATCCCTTCTAGAAGCTCTGGAAGACACTCCATCCGTTGCCTCACTGGCTTCTGGTTGCTGTCGGCATTCTTGGGCGTGCGGTTACATCTCGACAATCTCCACTTCCATGGCTACATTGCTTCCTCCTATTCTCTGTGCCTTCCCCTCTTCTGTCTGTCTCAAACCTCCCTCTGCCCTCTGTTTATAAGGACACTTGTCATTGAATATAGGGCCCACCTAATTATCCAGGATCATCTTATCTCAAGATTCTTAATTACGACTGCAAAGATACTTTTCCCCAATACATTAACATTTACAGGTTTTGGGAATTAGGATGGGGACATATCTTTTTTATTTTTATTTATTTTTTTGAGATATGGTCTTACTGGTTGAAAGATAATTCATGACCTCCACATTTATCTGGTGAATATAATACCATGTTGCAAAGAAAGAGGCCTTCTGCATTTCATTTTAATGCAGCCACTAGTTTTGGCCCAACTGTACTCTGATCATGGCTGTGATCACCGTAGCTGCTTCTCCCAGCACCCAGTGGTCTGTGATAATTAGCAAGCGCATCTGGAAAGTTCTAGAACTGCTTGAAAATGGAAGGGCCAAGTGATATCATTCTGCAACTACAGAGGAGATGTGAGAATTAAGGCAGGGCTGGACCTGATTCCTCATGCACTCTCTGTCTTTGGGAATCAACCCCTGAGTCACAGAGAGTTGAAAGTTTCTCACTTGTCTATAGCCTTTGGGTGAGCCAGGTCTCATGGCGAGAGCTTTGCACAGTTAGTGCAGAAGGGCAAATAGGGAATGTAGTTTCCCTCAGTTGCACTGGGCTACCATGATATGCTCTTGGAAGAACCCTTGGGCTGTCTTCACTCTTCCCACCGTCTTGTTCACTTCCAGGTTTTCAAGGTCACCAGGACCTTTGTCTTCTTCTACATGGAAGACAGAAGTCTGATTATCTTTCTATTGGTCTCTGCCTCCATTTTTCATGCCACTGGCAAGATCATCTTCTGAAACTCTTTACACAAGTCATTCCTCAGTAGATAACGCTTCCCTGCTTGCCTCATTGTCACCTAATAATGTCCCAACTCTACAGCCCAGCTCTGAAGACCCTCTTGGGTTTGGGGGTCATCTACCACTTAAAAATTTCTTTTTCTTTTCTCCTTAATCAACTCTCAACTATTCCACATCTTTAGCTCTTTCTGCCACTTTGAATGACCTTCACCAAACTGTATTGTCAGCTTCCTTATTAGTGATGGGAGTAACATCCTTAACTCTCCCAGACAGAGTGATAGATTAAATGGACGATTTCATGGAAAGTTTCTAGGACAGAACCTGATGCACTAGGTGATCACAGAATGATTATGTACCCTCCATCTTTGGGAATTACTTGTTGCAAGCTCTCCCTCATGGTTTAGCTTGAGTGCTGCTGCTTTTCTGATGCTGTTCTTGTCCCCTTAGCTTTGGGATATTTTCTCTTTCCTACTGAAATCCAAAGCACGTAATCTCCATTCATCATTTGATGTTATATACAAATTACTACATACTTGGATTTGGTATCAGGTCCAATTGTATGTGCCTCTCTGATTTGCTCCCCCCCCCACCCCGTGTTACATCTTTTCTCTTCTGTAAGTCATGAACCATAACTTCCTTTGTGGCAAGGGCTGTCTGGGTAGCTGTTCTCAGGGCTCACTTCCTCCACATCACAAGCTCACTGCAACTATGCAGTGTGGCTGTTGTGACCTCCACTGTGCTCATGGATGTAGAACCACAGCAGGTCCAGCACTTAAGTGATACAGAGTCTTGGTCCTATGGCCAAGAAGAAGCAAGATGGAAGCCCAGCTAGTTTCCCTGGGTATGACTTGCCTTAACTAGGTTCCTGGGGCCTTGAATGTAGTAGCTAAAGACAGACCAGGAAGGTTTCAGGCTCCATGCTTCCATTAGGGTGTGTCCAACAAAGGCAGTCCTGGAGACAGTGGATCAGTTGAGTTTGAACTTGGAGTTAGCTAAGACCAGGCTCACAGGGCTATGGCCTTGCTACTCCATCAGAACTGAGATAAAGACCATGTTCAGGGAGTGATGTCTGGCTTCCCAGAGGGACCAGGTAACACAACTTATATGAACTTGGACTGATGAGAAAGGGAGACAGGAACAAGCCTACAGATCAATTGCTCTCCTTCCCTCCCCATATGGTTCTAGCTTGCGTGTAGCATCTGGAGGCTGTCCATGTGATAGGCAGGATATACTTGAAGTTGAAGATGTGACCAGCTGGGAGAGGACCACCTTCTTTCTATTTGCTATGTTTTGATACTCTACCGTCCTTTCCTCCCACTCCAGATTCCAATGTGTTGCACTTCTCAAGAAAACAGGGTGCAAATGTTGCCTAATTGTTTGCTTCCTCAGGAAGCATGCCCTGAACATTTTTGCCTACCATCTCTCTATTTTCCTTCTCTCATCCCTTTCCTTTCCCTCTCATTTCCTCTTCTCCTTTGGTTTTCTCTGTTTTTTTTTTTTTTCTTTTTTCTTTTTTTCCTTCTCCTCTATTAGTTATTTTGTTCAAAAACCAAATCATAGAAATTTGATTTTTCGGGGGAGGACTCTCACATTTCTTCATTTTTGAGGCTAAAGCCCTAAGGAATCATGGGGGCAGTAGTCTTCTGAGTGGGATTCAGGATGCTGAGCTTGATAAAATATTCTTTTTCTTTTTTAGAGACAGAGTGTCACTCTGTTGCCCAGGCTGGAGTGCAGTGGCACAATCATAGCTCACTGCAGCCTCAAACTCCTGGGATCAAGCAATCCTCCTGCCTCAGCCTCCCAAATATTTGGGATTATAGATGCCCAAACTTGATGAAATAAATGTGGGTATACCCCAATTTTAAGTGATCCCCTGGTTTTATCTTTGTTTTCTTTATAAAAAAAGGTCCCCATAACCTTCTATCACATACAAAAATTATTTGATTAATACATTTCAGTTGGCAATGAACTTTGCAGTTGCAGTCCCAGTAAGAGAAGTCATGGGGAGCTGGCCATTGCTTCGAGCTGCTCCACAGAGGAGAAGACCTGTTCCTGCCTTCCCCTGGAAGATGGGGATAGTGGCATCTTTCCTTTGCTCTATTTTTCTCTCTCTGGTGGGAGCAGTTTTAAAAATGCTAAAAATCCTCTATCATAGCACTGGGGAGCTTCACAAATGTCTGACATGGCCACATAGTCATTTGTGTATTTGTGGTGTGTATGTGTGCACGTGTATTTGTGGTGGGGGAGTGGTAGTAGGTAGAAAATGGCCCCCAAATGTCCACATCTTAATCCTCGAAATCTGTGAATATGTTACCCAACAAGGCAAAAGGTAGTTTGCAAATGTGATTAAGTTAAGGATCTTGAGAAGGGAAGCTTACTGGATTACTCTGGCTGCATGTAATCACAATTGTCCTTATTAAGAGGGAGGAAAAAGTGTCTGAGTCACAGAGATTTGAATATGCTATCCTGCTGGAGGGAGGGGCTATGAGCCAATGAATGCAGGCCACCTTTAGGAGTTGAGAAAGGCAAAGAAATAGACTCTCCCCTCCAGCCTTCAGAATGAACTTAGCCCTATACCTAGACACCTAGCCTTCCTGACACCTGGATTTTAGTCCTGCTAGACTTTAGACCTACAGAACTGTAGGACAATAAATCTGAGTCATTTTAAGCCACTAAGTCTGTGGCAGTTTGTTGTAGTGGCAATAGAAAACTAGGGGTGGTGGTGGTGTTGAAATATTAACTTTTGGGTTACTTGTAGTTAATTAGTTAAATATAGTATTTGTTGAGCTTCTCCTCTGTGTCAGGCACAAAGGTGAATCCATAGTCTCTTTCCCCTTGGAGCCTGCAGTCTGGGGAAGCAATTATTCTAGCAAGTTTTACAGTTCGTAGCTGTATCAAATAGCCTGTTTTACTGGTTGTTTAGGATATTTTGGTTAGGATATTTCTTTTTCTCCATGTGAATTTTTTTTTTTTTACTAAGAAGTCATTTCTAATTTAAACCTTTGAGCACTTTGCATTTATCATGTGGTAAGCATGATAAGTGGATGCTAGGGAGATAAAGATTCTCTTCAAGGGGCTTCCAATCTATTAGTAAAATTGGAAAGCATCTAAAATAGACAACTAACTCTACAGGGTAGTGTATGATTTTTAATAGAATGAGATTAGGCCAGAAGCAGAGCCCAGGATTCCTGGAGTCTCCCGCCAGCTGCCAGCCTCTGTCCTAGATAGATACCATGTACAGAGCCCCACAGATAAGGAATTCTTTATTACCTATAGAGCTAGTTTCTCTGGAGACTCCAACACTGCTGCTTGTCTGAATCATGCCCAGCTTCAAGGGCTCCCTGTATCCCTGTAAATTTAGACTTAGACTAGAGGTAGATCAAGGTTATACCAAATGCTGATCTTGACCTGATAAATTTTACTTATAGCCTACACCACACACAAAAGAAGGCAACCCTTTTAAATCTTTTTAAAAGCAAACCATTCACCTTATTTTCATTCCTCCAGCTGAGCATCTTCCTCCTGTGCCCTGTCAGCTCTGTGCCCCAATTATATCTCTGTTCTTCAACATATTCCTGGACCATCTGGCAGGGTCCAAGGATATTTTTTTAAAAGTTGTCTAAACAGGAGGAGAGAAGCCTTGGGATTTCCCTAGAGGTCAGAGTGTGTGACCAGCCATGCTAAGTGCCTCAGGAGACTCTTGCAATTTCAGGGGATTCATGGATCCCAGGGGAGGGATACACCATGAAGTCAGTGGGTCACAGAGCCTTTCATGGAGGAAGGGAATGACATGTGCCCCAAAGGACATGGAGGATTTAACTGAACAAAGGTGGGGGGAGCGCTTTCCAGGTAGAGACACCTGGGGTAAATAAATGGAAAAGTGGGAATCTGTAGTGTGTAGGGTCCAGAACCCATTTAGAACTAACTTCATGCATGCAATTCTAGTTACCTGATTTGAGCCTTTCTTAAAATATGACTGGTATTTATAGGATAGTGCTGTAGCCAGAGTTCTTGGAGTAAAAGCAATTGTATCGAGAAATCTGGGAAGCCCAGGGCAGGGATATGTTCTTAATCCTTTTTAATTGGAAGTCCCTGAGGAAACACAGCTGTCTGAGCCCTATATTCACCTGCAGATTAAATGAGACGAGTATTAATTGACAATTTCCCTTGTCCTTGGTTAAGAAGCCTATTTCATAGAAGAACGTAATGAAACATCTGCAAGATGGCATGGCTTGCAGTAGTTTACTCTGATTACACTGTTTATGTACAAAGAGAAAAGCAAGCAGCATAAGATAATGTAGGTAGGCTTCAATCCCAGGAATTTATTATTTGAGCAATCTGCTTAGTGAAAGAGTAGATGATCCTTCTTTAAAAAAATTTGCAGATTTTTCTTTGTACACAATTTGAATTAAACTCCAATAAATTTGTCTGCATTGGGTATGGAAGAGCATGGAATGGCAGAGCGTAAGCTGTCATGGTCTTAGGTACAATGTCGAGTAATTAGTTAATTAAGAATTGATATAGACAAGAGTCCCTATGTGGGATATTCCATAAATTATGGAGAGTCTTGGAAGATGCTGTTTAGATCACACAGAAAGATTTATTGTACGTATTTATTTTTTTTTTTTTTAGCATATGTGGAATACCACAATTAGTGTCTCATTCTTCTGTGTCTGCCACACTTTCCACTTTTTTTTGGACAGGGTTTCTCTCTGTCATCCAGCTGGAGTGCTGTGGGGGGATCTTGGCTCACTGCAATCTCCACCTCCCGGGGTCAAGTGATTCTGGTGCCTCAGCTTCCTGAATAGCTGGGACTACAGGTGCATGCCACCACATCCAGCTAATTTTTGTATTTTTTTTTGGTGGAGACGGGGTTTCACCATGTTGCCCAGGCTTGTCTCAAACTTCTGACCTTGAGTGATCCACCCGCCTCAGCCTCCCAAAATTCTGGAATTACAAGCATGAGCCACTGCACCTGGCCACATTTTCTAGTTTTCTTGTGCTTCCTACTGAATTAAAATCTCTTTTAGTGGATGATGCAACCTTAGCTATTACCATTCATTATCATCTCAGATGGGATTAGCTGACAATGGCAAATTGATAATGAAAGTGCACATCCTGTAAACACAGGTGGAAGGACACACAGCATCCAGGAAAGAGAGACCGAGGGAGCCAATGTCACAATTTGGCCCAGGGCAGTGAATTGTCTAACTGGGGCCCTATGTATCCTCTTAAAGCTTGGATGGTCAGCTCAGGTACTTTGGTTGCTGGCAACAGAAGCTACCTCAAGCTAATAAGGAGAGAAAACTAAAGAAATGTACTGGGAGGATACGAGATAGCACACAGAACTGAAGAAAAAGATGAATAAATAATAAGTGAGACAAGAATGTGGACAGAGTCAGAAAAATAATGGACAGTGTTTGTGAGCATCACTTTTGGGATAAATCTTCTCCAAATGTTTTCTATCTTTGAAGTTTGCTGCACAAAATTTGAATCCTTGCTGGGGGCAGGGAGAATCTGACCTGGTTTTTTGCCCTTGAATCAGGAAAGGGGAGGGACCCTAAATGACAACTCCATCAATACCACCAGCTAGGAGGGGGGTGATTCTTCACAAGAGGGCAGGACATTGTCCCCAAATCAAGTGAGATGGGCTTTGGGCTTCTTGTAACAATAGATGTCATATCCAGGTAGCTAGGAGTTTTTTAATGCTTTCTAAATGGGAGGAGAAAATTTTTTGTATTTACTTTCAGTATAAACGTCAAGGCTTTCAAAGAACTTTTGTCAAGACTGAAACATAGGGACACTTGTAAACTGGGTAATAAAAACTAGAGAAGAGGGGACAACTGGTGGAGACTGCAGGTGAGTCCGAAGTCCCTTTTGGAGACTCATGACTTTATTTTCATTCTGAAATAATTAAAAAGGTAAGTGATATACAATGATCTCAGAATTTCTAGGAGGAATTTATGTAAGATTGTACATAAGAGGAGGTTGGATCCAAGATGGCCGTTTAGGAACAGCTCAGGATTGCAGCTCCCAGTGAAAGCGCAGAGGGTGAGTGGACGCCGCGTTTTTATTGCCCACAGACTAGGAAATTCCCGGGCAGAGGTGCTCCACGGTCACCAGCACGGCTGTTGCGGCCAGCGCTGCTGTGCCGGCCAGCGCCGCTGCTTTGCCCCGCGCGGCTGCTTTGTCGGCGCCCCGGAGCCGCAGTTCTCCGTACAAAATACACCGGTCTGGGTGCCCTTTTGGCTGGCGATTGGAGCCACGGGAAGTCGCCCATACACTGGTTCAAAAAGGGGACTGAGCAGAGAACCAGGACAGTAGATTCCAGGGCAAAAAAAAAAAAAAAGAAAAAAAAGCGTCACAAACCTCAGTGCCGCTGTTTAAGCCAGCGCAGCGAGTGGCCGCAGGGGAAAACAAACAGACCCCGACGCCTCTTCAACAGGCGACTGGAACACCAACTTAAAAAAGGCTCTGAGGCAGGGAGCCAGGCGATCAGGCTCGGCTGGTCCCACCCCCACAAAAGAACAGCAACCAGAAACTCTGGATTGAGAATTTCACAGCAAGCGCAGCTGAACCCGGGACAGTCCAGCTCTGTGGGGGAGGGGCGTCCGCCATTACCAGGGAGCCCGCCGTTGCCAAGGCAACCCGCCATTGCTGAGGCAACCCGCCGTTGCCAAGGCAACCCGCCACAGCAGAGACTCCGCTCCAACAGAGGCGGGCCACCATCGCCAAAGCAGTTCTAACTACACCCATATAAACAGGACTGCAGGGAAGTTCACTCGGCAGCGGGGCGCAGCCCACAGCAGCTCAGCAAAGCTGCCATAGGCCGACAGTGACTAGGCTGCCTCCTTGCTGGGCTGGGCAGGTCTGAAGGAAAAAAAAAAGTAGGCGGCAGCATAACGGAAACTCATAAATAAAGCCGTAAATCCCTGGGACAGAGCACCCGGGAACAAAAAACAGTTTATGAGTTCAGCTGCAGCAGACCTAAAAGTACCTGCCCAGCAGCTCTGAATGAACAACAACAGAGCTCGCAACTCACCATTTGAGCTCCTATAAAGAAAAGATCGTCTCCTCAAGCAGCTCCCTGACCCCTATATATCCAAAAAGACACCTCATAAAAGAGAGATCAGATTGACACTAGGTGGGTATCCTTCTGGGACAAAGATAGCAGAAGAAGAAAACTGGTAACAACCCTTGCTGTTCAACAGCTGCTGCAGGTGAACCCCAGGCAAGCAGGGCCTGGAGTGAACCTCAGCAGACCTACAGCAGAGGGGCCACACTGTCAGAAGGAAAACCAAGAAACAGAAATAACCTCATCATCAACAAACAGAACGTCAATCTGAAAGATTTGAGACCCAATCTGAAAGCCAGCAACTACAAAGTTGACAGGTGGATAAATCCTTAAGGATGGGAAGAAACTGGCGCAAAAAGGATGAAAACACCCGAAACCAGAACACCTCTCCTCCTAAAAGGGATCACAACTCCTCACCAGCAAGGGAACAAGGTTGGATGGAGAACGAGTGTGATGAAATGACAGAATCAGAATTCAGAAGGTGGGTAGTAAGAAACTTCTGTGAACTTAAAGAACATGTTCTAACCAAATGCAAAGAAACTAAGAACCTTGAAAAAAGATTTGACGAAATGCTAACGAGAATGGACAAAATAGAAAGGAATATAAGTGAATTGATGGAGCTGAAAACTGCAACACGAGAACTTCGTGAAGCATGCACAAGTATCAACAGCCGAATTGACCAAGCAGAAGAAAGGATATCAGAGGTCGAAGATCAACTCAATGAAATAAAACGGGAAGGCAAGACTGGAGAAAAAAGGGTAAAAAGGAATGAACAAAGTCTCCAAGAAATGTGGGACTATGTGAAAAGACCTAATCTACGTTTGATAGGCGTACCTGAATGCGACGAAGAGAATGAATCCAAGCTGGAAAATACTCTTCAGGATATTATCCAGGAAAACTTCCCCAACCTAGCAAGGCAGGCAAACATTCAAGTCCAGGAAATACAGAGAACACCACAAAGATATTCGTCAAGAAGAGCAACCCCAAGGCACATAATCGTCAGATTCACCAGGGTCGAAATGAAGGAGAAAATACTAAGGGCAGCCAGAGAGAAAGGTCGGGTTACCCATAAAGGGAAGCCCATCAGACTCACAGCAGATCTCTCAGCAGAAACCCTACAAGCCAGAAGAGAATGGGGGCCAATATTCAACATCCTTAAAGAAAAGAACTTTCAACCCAGAATCTCCTATCCAGCCAAACTAAGCTTCATAAGTGAAGGAAAAATAAAATCCTTTGGGAACATGCAAGTACTCAGAGATTTCGTCACCACCAGGCCAGCTCTACAAGAGCTCCTGAAAGAGGCTCTACACATATAAAGGAACAACAAGTACCAGCTCAACTAAAGGGCAAAACAGCCAGCTACCACCAAAATGGCAGTATCAAATTCACACATAACAATATTAACCCTAAATGTAAATGGACTAAATGCCCCAATCAAAAGACACAGACTGGCAAATTGGATAAAAAGACAAAACCCATCGGTGTGCTGTATCCAGGAAACCCATCTCACATGCAAGGATACACAAAGGCTCAAAATAAAGGGATGGAGGAAGATTTACCAAGCAAATGGAGAGCAAAAAAAAGCAGGAGTTGCAATTCTCATCTCTGATAAATTAGACTTTAAAGCAACAAAGATCATAAGAGACAAAGAGGGACATTACATAATGGTAAAAGGATCAATGCAACAAGAAGAGCTAACAATCCTAAATATATATGCACCCAATACAGGAGCACCCAGATACATAAGGCAAGTTCTTAATGACTTACAAAGAGA